AAAGCTCACAAAAAACCCACTAATTCATGCCATACCACTTACCTGAAATAAAAGGAATTACAGAACAGACATAGCTAAGTCAGACCTGCTTTAACAACCATTGGTTAAGACTGAGAACCCATCCAAATAAAGCCTAGCAAGTTCTAGAGATGACAGGTATTTTGAAGGGCAGTTAAAAACAGTTTGTTGAGCTGCTTCTGGCTGCAAACAATCCCTAAGTCACCACTGCATAATTAAAGCTTTGAATTTATCTTTTCATATTTGAACACAACCATAAAACAAAAGCAGACTTTTCCCTGGCAACTCACTAAACTGCTGAGAAATCCTCTGTGCTTTGCACTTGTTATCAGAAGAAAAAAGTGAAGGAAGGATTCAGAAATAAATTCTGTCAGTCTTAAGCCTCTTGAGTTCAACTAACAACCAACACTTTCACCATCCTCATTCTCCTAAGGCACTTCACAGTTTCATCACCAGTGACAAGACTTTATGCCATTTGATCTTCTGACTAAAACACTCCTTCCCATTTTCATGCTATTGCAGTATTTTGAAGTACAGGCTACGGGTCTCAACTGCTCACCTCATTCCTTATCCCAGCCATGATGCACAAAACACATTCCAATGTCTTAGATTTACATGCCCTTTTACCTGAAGAAACAGTATAAGCAATTCAAGGCATAAGAATTGCAGAAACAGTGAAGTGTAAGATTTATTTTTTTATTCATTGTATGCCATGTAAGGGGAATGGTCCAAAACACTAAATCAGTCAGCCAAAGTCAGTTCTTGCCACAGTCTCCTGCAAAGCAGAGCAGGATTATTTGTTTCTAGAATCAAAATCATTAATAAGCCTTTTCTGAAGACAACTTCGCACAGCTTCCTTTTAACATATTTACTATTAAAAAACTGAGGTCAGTAATTTTCTTAACGTCATTTCTGAAAGACAAGTTTTCTTCAAAGTGCATCAGCACTTGCAAGAGCAAGGTCAAGGAACAAGGAAGATTTCCTAATAAATTTAGAACTTGGAAGCATTCAGGTATTCCACAGTAACTAGTTTTATTTCCCTGTAATACAGAATGAAGACTTCCAGATAAACAGTCACTCAAAACTACCTGTAGCTGCAACTCAGCTGTCCAAAACCTGTCCTTATCAAACTGATATTAAGTAGCCCCTCGGAAATCAGGTGCCAGTCTCACCTCTGCCCCTACCAGGTATGAACAAGGCAAGTTATTCCTTTAATAAGAATTAACCCTCTGTGGGATTAACTTGCATACAAAAAGCTTTAGCAGATACATCCCAACAATCCCATTATGCAAGAGATTATTATAAGACTGGTCTGTTTTAAACTGCTTATCAGCTGACCTGTCCCACTGACAGCAACACTGGCAGTGCATGGACAAACTCAGATCCAGCTGTTTTGCCCTCAAAAATCAAGGACCAGTATCAGATCACAAAACTAACAGCCAATGGCTTGCTACTGATGCAGGAACAAGCCAATCCTGGAGTAAGACAACAACCCATGGCCAACATTGCAGATCTTGCCAATGGAGCCTGACTTACATCACTAATAAACCCCTTGACTCTATATTTCAAACAGCCACCAACTAGCCTTAGCTGCTTTCATGAACAAATCCACTGAAAAATTAGTGGTTTCTGAAAACAAACTGTTCTTAGTAATTCATACATAGTAATTCATACCTGCTGAACACCTGGCATTGAAGGCTTTTATCCACCACTCTTCATGTCTTAAAAAATAACCATTTATCAGTTCCCACAAACATTAACATCCCCTCTATCTTTCTAAGGGAAATCATGGAAGTGAAAGAAAAAAAAAAAAAGAAAGCTAGAAGGAATGCAGAAAGCAACCTAGTTTGGGGACCTCTGCCAAGCCAATCACATTATACATCGAAAGAGCATTTGATTAAGGGTATATGAACAACTGGCAAAAAAAGAAAAAAGACAACCTTTCTGCATTCACCTACTGTCCTGGAAATTGGAAAGGCATGTCCCCTTGAGTTACCCCTCTCTCCCACAGATCATTACCAAAAGAGTGCAGCCTCTTCACCTGTGCCCTAACAATTTCTCATAGCACTTACAAAAACGAGCACAGCTCTGTAAGCACTTCAGTAATGATGAGTGGGAATACCTAATTTTTTCAACCACAACCTGGAGAGAGCAGGACATACAGCAAGAATTTAGAAACATGTATCAGCCTGTTTTAGGGAGATGTGCTCTAAATTCACCAGCAACTTTGCCACAGTCAGTGGTAAGCTTAAGAAAAATCTCATCCAAGAACTAGTCCTAAAACAAATCCTATTTAATGAAGGAGAAATATTTACTATGGAAGGCTGAGCTCGCTTTGGCAGGTGAGAAGATTCACACCTTGCTAATTGCACACACCTGGATACAGAGGGACCCTTTATTTAAATACATTGTGAACAGACACAGTAACAAAACAAGATTACAAAGTTAATTTGAACACGCTCATTCAATATTTTCTCCATTCCTGTGCTCTGATACTAAGAACAACATGATGTAACACAAAGCAAAACCCCAGCTCACAGTCAGTGCTTGCATTCAGCAGCCCAGCAGGGAAGTCAGCACGTCTCCTCAGGTCTCCAGGCAGTCCTGGCCATCAGACACGGAACACCTGAGCTTGGTCAGGGCAGACGTCCTGCAGGAACAGAAGGTGCAAGACAGTAAAAATCTCTCTCCTCATGGCTGCTTTATTGCAAAGTACTAGAATTTGTTACAGTCACCTTCTAACAGCCAGGTACGCACAGAAGAGTCAAACCCCGCTCTCAGGTGCTAAAGAAACATCACTGTAATAAACACAATTCTCTTCTCCCTTTTTTAAGGTGCACCTGTCACCTTACCCTCTATGTGTCACACCAGGAGGAACCAAAGGAAAAAAAATTCAATTTACAATCAAGACAGTGAGGGCAGATCACACAATCTCCAGTTTTTCTATTTGGAAAAGTGCTGGGTATCCCATACAAGAGCTAACTTGGGAATTTTCAGACCAACCCAAATACTCTGCTTTAACCACTATTTTTAAGACCAAATCTCCCTCAAATTTGTAATCTCAGCTTCTATTTCAGGACATGCCAGATTTCTAAGGACAGGAAAAAAATTTTATCACTTCCCCTCAACTTCCTAAACTCTAAAGTTACAGTATTTGCCAGTAAGTAATATGGTTCTAAAAATGCTAAGATCTCATCCCTTCTAACAAGTATATAGTGTAGGTGTGAGAGAAAACAAGAGATGATAAACCAGTATTTCACTACCATTTCACTATCTTCAAATAGATTATGCCTCTGGATTATGGCCAGAATGAAAAAAAAAAAACAGGCTAAGAAAACAAATCTTTGTTTTCAACAGCCGATTATGTTTGTATTCTTATGAAAATAACAATGATCACTTCAGAATAACATACATGTGCTATAAAGTGGTCTCTCTAGTGGGTCACACATGCAAGGCCGAGGGGTGGGGAAAACCCACACCTTTCCACTCAGGGGTGGGAAAAAACATTTTTTTGTAGCATTGAGAAACGTTTTTAAATAGCATTTATTTCATCTTTATCTTATCCTTTCTCGATTTCTGTTCAAGCATATTTTTTAATAGATGCATTTGTAGAGCAATATCTGCATAAATCGATAAATCAATAAATATACATAAGTGGGAGGTGCATGCTAAGAGGTGTTTCTACCATAGGCACGTGCAGCCAAAAAAGTTGGAGGCCACTCCTCTAGAAAGCAGCTCTTTTTCTCTGACAACACGATTGTCCCTCTTTTCTACTGAGTAAAAAGCCCTCCCTCGTTTTTCTAGACACCACTGAGTTATCCGCAAGTTGGACCAATTTTTCTCACTCAGAAGGTGATTTTGGGGGTCTTTTTCTTAGGGTATCTCCAACGGGCAGCTCCACACCTACCCTGAGCTGCCCTCAAAGGACATCCCCGCTCAGTTCCCCGCTGCCCAGGGCAGGGAGGGCCGTACCAGTTTCACTCCAGCGCTGGTGTTCCCAAGGATCGCAATGAATGGCGCCTCACAAGGCACGTGGCTCCGGTGTTTTCAACCCTACGGTCGGGGCTTTTTTTTTTTACCACCTCAAGGATAAGGGACTTCAGTTCCTCAGGGACAGGCAACAGAACATAAAGACCTGGACAGAAGTATCAAAAAAACCCCACGCTGTGATAAACGACCTGCTTGACAAGGGAACGTGCACGTGATGAATGGATAAATAAATACAATTAAGGAGCCATGACATATTATGGCTTTGAAGGAACCAAGGGAAGACATGTAAGGGAGAATACTGAAAGCCAAGCACTCAGACCCTCACCCAGCTCTTCCCCCTCACCCCCCCGAGCTCCGGCGGCTCCCCCAGGCCCCCTCACCGGTGGCCCACAGCACCCACAGCCGCCCGCCCTCCGCGGACGAGGAAAGGCGGCGGGCCCGCGGTCCTCGCCACTGACCTGCCGGCGGCGGCTCCCACCCAGGGCCGGGGCGGCCGCGTCCCCTCAGCCCGCGCAGCCGCCGCGCTCCCGCACGCACAGGGCCGTCTCACCTGCCCCTTCCCGCCGGCCGCTCGGATCCCTCCGCTCTCACCTCACAGCAGTGCTCTATTCTCTTCAGGAGGAGCCTACCAGCAGAATACCCGGTTGGGTCGGGAGCGCCCACGGACCACCGCCCGCCATCACCGTTACCTCAGCAACCCGGTGCGGTGCCGAAGCGCGAACCACACACCGGGACTACTTCACGTCCGCGGACGAAAACAAACTGGTTCCAAACGCGCGAAGGCCGACGGGACGCTTTTAAAGGGCCGCGCGGGGCACGCCGGGAGCTGTAGTCTTCCCGCAGAGGCGCCACGCCCCCTCACGGCCGCAGCCAATGGGCGGGCGGGGGGCGGGGCTCCCCCGCGGTGCGCGCGCGAGGGGCGGTCCCTGGAGTTGGTTGTTGCGCGGGCGCGGCGCTCGCAGCCCCGTCCCGGGAGCCGCGTCCTCGGCGGGGCCCGGCGGGAGCGGCACCGGAACCCTGAACCCCGACCCCGCACGGAGCCGCCGCGGGGCTGGGGAGCCCCTGCCAGGTGAGGGGCGGCAGGGGGGCGGCGGCCCCTTGCGCCGCCGGGGGAGGCCGGGGGGCGGTGGCGGTCGGGTTCCCTCGGCGGGGCCCCGGCGGG